AGAGACCACGCGGGCGAAGCCGCAGGCAAAAGCTTGTATTCGAGATGGTCGTTTGGAAATAATTAAAAGCATAGATAACCATGTCAAACGTATTGCAATTATCGTACATGTTCCCAATAATATATTTATTTAATGGAAACGTTAGTATATAAATTAAATTATTTAAAGTCAACTAAAATTAATATCTTCCACACTAAATTTCATTCAAATCGAATGGAACTATTTCAAATAGGTTTTCGTCTTCAATACTTCCTATAAGCGATAGTTAATTATTTATTTTAGTCCTGCTTTATGTAATTTGTTGCTGACGCTACAGCCCATTTAACATCCGAGAAGCACGTCCAAGTATTATGCAATGTTTGGATCAATAAATAAAAACGCATTATGCATTTCAAGTAGAAGAAGATGACATAAATCAATCAATTTATATGACCCATATTATATTTAAGTTACGTCATATTGGATTCTACGAAATTGTCATTTTTTCCAATGGATTTTGGACTTCAATCCAGTCCAACTTGATCAAGTTTGAAATTGATGCGGAATTTTTATATCTCTTGGATGTACAGCTATGGGTTATTTATTAGATAATATTAGAAAAAAAGGTGGTAAAATATTTAAAAATTAAAATAAGTCAATAATATAAAAAATAACACAACTACAACCTACAACGGCTGTTAAAACAGAGAAATATGTGATTATTTTTACTTACCCTTTTAAAGGGCCATTAGGGCCAAGCATTACAAGAAAAAGATACCCAAAAATAACATAGAATTTGTATGTAACATTTGATACCCTAAGAACAACACAATAGTAAAGAACTCATGGAATGACCGCTGGTAACAACCAACGAAGTGAGCAAAACCATTGGTAGCTTAAATTCTAGCACTGGTTAATAATATTTATTATGCTTGATGAATTTACTGACTAATTAATTATATTCAAGAGGGATATTTTCCCTGTAGTCTTACAATAGTTAAAATCTTACCAATTTATAAAGCAGTCTGTAAAAACGATCCAGGGAACTATCGTTCCATTTTAGTACTACCATTAATGCTAAAATATTTGAGAGAATGTATAATGGATTAGATATCTATCTGACATAATTTTTTTTATCTTAAATTTTAGCAAACTAAAGATACTAAAGATAAAAGTCTTCGAATTTTTCTTACAATCAATCTCAAATAGTTAAAAGTGATGATTACATAAACAATATAGCACCAATTACTTGAGAAATTTCTCAAGGTTTCATTTTAGGACCCGTTTGTTCTTAATTTATTAAAAAACTATATAATAAAGTTTTGCTCTGATTGGTGATATTATACTTTTATATAGATGATAGTAACCTATTTTATTTGAAAGAGAGACTGAAATTGGAAGAAAGAGTGAATAGACGTGCACAAAATGATTTAAATATTTTAAATGAATTATTCAAATATAATTACTAAGAAAACAAATTATACCTCATTTTCTAGGCATATGCATAAAACGACGCATTGGTTTATGTATAACTGTAAATTCTTGTTAAATAAAAGCCTAAACCACAAAAGGGAAATCGATCCACACAAGTAGATGGGAAAAAAGAGATCCGACAAAAAGGTTAAAACCTCATTTCAAACGATAAGACAGTTTATTTTTTTTTATTGATCTTAAGGGCGCTTGTGCACTACACTGAATTTTCATGTCCGGCGGTCCGATTTTTTCAGGTCCGATATGTCAGGCCATATGTAGGTAATGCGCGCTTGTGCACTATCAGGAATTTTACCGTCCGGAATTTTACTTTTCTCTATTCCGGACCGGTTTTTTCAGGTCCGTGATGGCGGCAATGAAAAACGTGTTTACGCTTGTGCACTGCTGTGTCCGAGATCCGGAAAATTCATAAGGAATAGGCTTGGGAAAAATAATCGATTTGAATCGATATTTATTTCGGCGATATTGTTAATTTCCAATAAACTTATAATCGATATTTTATATTTATTGTTGATTATAAAATGCCATATTTTATATGATGATTTAATATAGTTGGTATATATCACTGCATATGCTTTGGCAAACTCGGTATAGTTCTAATTTGATCAGCGTATGGTTCTAGTATCGATACTTAGCTAGATTTTAGAATCGTATTAAAAGTATCGATAGCTTAAGGTAAGATAAATAAGTGTAGTTACGCTTAGACCCATCTAAATGGAAATTAATATAGTAAATAGACTTAACTTTAAGAATGACATAGGCTACATTTTATCGTGAAAAATAGGGGATGAAAGTTTGCCTGGAAATTTGTCATTATCAAAGTTTTTTAGACAATTGATAAGTATAGATAAATATTTGACAACAGAAGTCATAATAAAGAATAAACAGAAGATTAACAAAAGTAATTGACACTCAATGTCTTTTTCGCATTTAATAAAATTTTAAATGTATGTTTGTGTCATTAATAAAAGAAGTATTCTAAGAGAATAATATTTCTGCTCAAAGAAACTACACCACGCGTATAAAATTAAGCTTATATATAATACAGTCAACTGATCTCGTAAAGTTCATTTAGCATAATAATTCTCCGATAACACGGCACTAATAACGATTTGTTTACGAAATGGCGCCACCGATTAGTCTATCTCTGTAATCGCTGAAAGTTGTTTTTACAAAAATAGCACGTTTAAAAATTTAATTATCAAGTACTAGACCATTATCAGTAATTTTATTCTAATGTCGCAGTTTATTTTTAGCTATTGTATGTGAATAATGCTGTTCCTAAATTAGTAAGGGTATAAGTTTTTACATCTGATAGTAGTCATCCGATAGTAGTAAAAAAAATGCTTTCGTCTGGCCATAATTTATTATGGTTTATGTTAAATGATCAGATCATTATTTAGGTACCTTTCTACGTCTTAGAACGGAATTACCGACGTTCCAAAAATCTCATCGTACCTAGCGTAAGTGACGTGTAGCTTCAAAGAGAGCTGCCCTACACTGCGCCGCTCCGATCAGGAAAAAAACGGACAAGTGCACAAGCTACTGATCCGGGTTTTTCATGTCATTCCGGACCGGAAAAAATCGGACCGCCGGACCTGAAAATTCAGTGTAGTGCACAAGCGCCCTTACGCATCAAAATATGATTTTAATTAATTAATCAAATAGTTAATTCAACCAAATTACAGCTGACATGATCGCTAACCAAACTAGCGTAAGAAGATCTCTTGCGACCGTCTAACCAGAGGCCTAATTCTCTCGATAAAACGGGCCATAGGTATAAAATTTTATAAATCAACATATTTATATTATTTTATTACATGTTTATTTCATCATGAATTGTATATTTCATTTCAGTTTATTTTCCCAAAAATAGGTCTAACAAAGTCAAATTCAATTTATCAAAAAAAGGATTTTGATTCATTATCCAAATCCAAATACAGTTAACAGTTGATGTAGCTTAAGTATGAGGTAGGTAGTAGCGAATAGACTTTTAGCTTTTCAGATTATATAGGCCATTTGCTTTAGACCGTTTGCTTTAGGCAATTCTTATTTTTTGCACAAGAAACCTTAGGAACGCAACCAGAAATATTTGAATATATTTTTATTTCTGGTGATTTTTCGAGTTACTGCTATAGCTTTTGTGAATCACGCTTTGGTTTGATTTTTGCGTTACATAGATATAATTATGAAATGCACTTACAAACAGCAATTGTCTGTTAAGTGTGTTCATACATCTTAGTGAAAACTAATTATATATGTAACTTTGTCTTTTTTAACAGGGTTCATAAGTTCGTTTCACCGTTGTGCATAAAAAATAGGGATGTAAGTTTTATAAATATACCGAGATTAATATTTACCTATATATCAAATTCAGTCTTCATCGATAAGTCCTTTTGACAAGGTCGATATATCGACACTTTATAGTTCTTCGATAAGTCCTAATCTAAAGATATTTTTTACATCGTTGTATCCCTAGTTCAAACAGTTGTCTACAACATTCCATGAATGTTTGAATAATGTGAAAGCACGAATGTGAAGGTTTTAGTACACATTTCTCTAGTTGGGTCAAAGATATTAGACATAGACTGGGGTCCTATTGTGTAATAAGCAAACTGTAAGTAGGTCAATATTGGTCTTCACATGATACCTAGCTTGCTGTCTGGCGAAATAATAGCAATATCTGTGGTAGTAATTACGGCGGCTGCTAAATTGCGGATTCAGATTCATATTTGATTATTTTCTGCCTATTAATGACCCACTGTTGGGTACAAGCCTTCTCTATGAGTAAAATCGAATCAAATTAGGAGAATGGGCCATGTCTCATCATGTGAGACCAGTGTGGATTAGTCGGTATTAACGACTGCAGATGAAGCTGGAAAATGGCTTAAGAGACCTTCCGTAGCACGGAAAAAACGAGTTAATAAATTGTTGGTCACTCATCCTATGATTGGTCATTGCGAAAGTTGCTTACTTCTAGATTGCAGAACGGACGCGCTAACTACTGTACCATTAATCTCCTTAATGTAGATTTATTAAATACAATGAATCTAAAAGTTTTGTTGCGTTCTCCGGGTCACTGATATTTTGAAAATTGGCTTGAAATATAAAAAGCCGGCCAAATGCGAATCGAACACGTTTTCGTACCATTTTCTATAAAGCTTTCCCTTTAAATATTTATTTAATTCTATTTTTTTTTATTACAAGCTTTCATTTAGTTTCACTTTTCCCGATGTTTGTCTTTCTTTAATCAAATCTTGCAAGTTAAATTTCACCCACTGCCCAGTGCCCCTTTGAGTTATAATTGGAATTATACATTTAATTCTGACGACTACATAATTATTTTTAATCGGTATTATTTTTAATTCATTATTATCGGTATTATTATAATGGCAACGTACATATTTCTAAACAATCTACCCAATATTGGTATCAAATGGAAGGGCTTAACATGAAGAATACAATAAACCAAATAAAAGCTTATTTGAAACAAAATATGTTTCTTATGATAAAAATAAATTGTATCGACTATGCAAAATATCACAGGTGCGTGCCTAGTACAAAAGTCAATTTGTTTACGGAACACCAGCAATTGTAAATTTTGGTTCATATTGTTAAATAACAAACATGGTATGATAAAAATTTGCTATTACAATTTGTTATAAAAGGTATAAGTTTTTCATTTTCATAAATTCCTTTAATTTGTCACTTACAGCTTTCATTTCATTGTTAAAACTATATTTATTATAATATTCATCTTTATTTGTTTAATCTTTTAAAATGTCGTTGGTTGTGGTATAACTTATTATTAATTTGAGTTTCCTTGATGTGTTAAAACTGGACAAGGATCATTTTAAATGTTATTGTTAACTAATAGACTTATTTTTCTATTAAATTAAATAATCTAATAAATAGCCTAGATTTCGTCATCGAACACAACGTCAACATCATAGAGTTTCAGTGCAATAAAACCTTTATTACCTTAAGGTTTCATTTCAGTGAACCTCTATGCTATGAAGGCGCTGCACTTGTCAATGAGTTTTGGCTGTTTAGAACATTAGAATAGCTGTTTTTTGTCTTATATTAAGATCCTTGTTTGGTATTAATTATTTTAATGTTAATTGTAATAGTAGAAATTACTTTATGATCCAACAAAATAATATTTTTATCTTCCATATTTCTAAAAGACGTACATAATTACAAAAAAAGATGAGATTAACATAATGTACTTTTGAATTTTTTTATCTTAATTAATGCCTTTCATCGCACCAAGGAATCTCTGCTTTTGTATCTTACATCCATCTCTTTCTGTACATACTGTTCCTTTTCTACAACTGTTTTTTTTCTTTAATCCACACAGATGCCAACGATCTACATCGAGCTCGTGATATTAAAACCGCACGGAACCTAGAAAAACCGATGTTCGTACAAACAGATTTAAGATTAGCTAGAAATGATATATTTCCTAACGTAACAGCCACTACACTGCCCGAATTCAAACCAATATCAGATGAGCAGATAGAAAAAGTATCGAGAATTTTAAAAGAAATGTCGAAGAAAAGAACTGGCCGCTTATTAGACAGTAGCGCACAAGAAGCTCAAATAAAAGCGAATGTTCTGAAAAAATTCTCCCAGAAAGCGGACAGGCAGGACGAGAAAAAGTGTCCACAAGGGGGCACATGCGAATTCTTTTTCTATTGTTGGATGGTTGGTGGTCTTTTGGAAGGTTCGTGCGGTGGATTATTGAAGGGGTGTTGCCACAGAGTCGCTAAAGCTGGCATTCTTGGTGTTCAAGATTCGAACAGCATTGATTATGGGCCAAGCGCGGGACTAAGTTATGGGCCCGTCATAAACGACGAAAGTAAGTTTTACGCTTCGTGAAATATGTAGTTGTACGTCTATCACACTGTTGCGTAACTTTAAAACAGTTTAAAAAACTAAATTGCACGATAAATAATTGTCGGTAGCAATTTTGAGAAGCGTAATGGTTTCTCGGAAGCACTTTTTAGTGTTTAGAGGTTCATTTAATTTCTTAAATAACAGTTGGAAAGTTTTTTTATTAATTTGTTTATCAGAAATAGCTACTTTTTAGTACTGACTTATTCAGTTGATAGTTTATTTGTTCACTTCACTTGAAAACGATTGAAGGAACATGGCCTGTCAAAAAGAAAAAAAATAAAAATTATAATAAGTACATTTATTATCAGATTTACCTGTTTTTAATTTATTTCTACGGAATCTTCTACATACTCTTTTGATAAATATCAAATGTAAATAATATAACTAGCTATATTTGAATTAAAAATAGCATGAAACCATTTCACAATCAAGTTTTATTTGCTTATATAATAATGAGTTTTATGAAACTATAGTATCATCAAAGTTATTTCCACGAGTAGATCTGAATGACAAAAAATAATCCTTCATTCTGACAAATTTTTATCATAAATGTGATGAAAATATAACACAAGTATACTAGCTTTCCGCCAGTGGTTTCGTGTATTAAATATTACAAGTCTTATTCTTGAATCACTTTATATTTGGAACCGCATTAAAAACTACAATTAAAATATCTGTGAGTACATAAACATTAATTTACGTTTCGGTGTGTAAGACGTTACAGAGAAAACTCTAAAACCTTAACCTTCAGAGCTCAGATGTGGTCGGATGGCAAGACATAGATAGATTTTATAATGAAACAAATATGTAGAAGAAATGAAGCATGCTGTGACGTCACCAGGTATATGTTTTGTACATATATTGTAGTTATATGCATATATATTTTATCATAATATATATTGATCATTCAAAACCTCTTTAAATCTGCTCTTTCCTAACTATGTCTTGCTTTCTTACCTTTTAAAAATATATTCCGCTAACATACTAACCTATTTTATTTTACTTGTTTTTATTTATATTTTCATGCTTTACATACAGGGTGAAGGTAAGTATTGTTCATAATTGTGTATATTTCATTCTGTTTTATCAAATGAAACCTATTTGAAATGGTAATAAAAAAGATTTATTTCTTTAAATCGGCGTTAAGAGAGGCTGATTTTATCTGATTTTCTTAATAATGCTATTTTTTCTTTGGGTATTTTAAATAGTCTAATTGAAGTGTATTACTGGCTGAAGGCTACTTTCGTATGCCATTTTTTTATTAAAAAACTGTAAAAATATAGTAAATAATTATAAAAACAGTAAGCATGTTTAGAATACTTTTGATATCTTTTATTTTTCAACCTTAGCTTATTTCTATTTAGTAACATAACTTTTATTGAAATAGTTTTTATAAAAAAATATATTTTTTGTATGCTAAAGAGATTAGATATTTTAATCATCAAGAAATAAAAAAAATAAACATTTTTATAAAAGAATCCTATTATACTTTTAGAACGTATATAAGCTGATTATACAACATACTTTCTCGTGGCAGACGGACTGGCAAAACGGATACGATTATGCAGTCAAATGTCAGTTGATAGTGGGTCATTAATGTATTTTTATGTTGGCACCGTGGGTCATATTGTAAAAGTAACATCTAATGCAAGGGGTATTATATAGAAAATCATATTTAATTTTTAGTATTTTTTAGAAATAAAAACTTAATTCCTTTGCTCGAAGCAAATTGTCTAATCAATACATAATATATAACAAAGTTGCTTTACGTCGCCTGTCTGTATGTATGTTTAGATCTTTAAAACTACGCAATGTATTTGTTGCGGTTTTTTTTAATAGATAGAGTGATAAAAAAAAGTTTTTTTATGTATAATATAAGACCACACCGGCGAAGCTGTTGGTGGTGAAGTGAAAAATATTTACAATGTTTTATGAATATTGTAGTTACACATCTTACCTGAAAAGAGAAATAATATATAATGCTATTATTTCACTAATCCCTTATGATATTAAGTTTAATAAATTTTAATATTTTTACAGACAAACTAGATATAAAACAATTTTTTATCACTTCCAACATAACCTATTCTCTTGTACCACAGAGTAAATCTTGAATAATTGAATGTTTCATTTATCGAAATGTTAAAAATTGTATTAAAATATACTTCTTATAGTACCTCTCAAAGTAGTGAAGTTGGTCAGCAGTTTTTTTAAATCGTCCCTAGTCTCCGCTAGTCGTCGTCGCCTAGTTTTTGGCGTTTAATTGTGGGCATGAGTTTTTTAGTCAATACGTTTCAAAACTTCCACGTTGGTCATTCTTTGAGTCCAGTATATGGATACCATGCGTTCGTAAGTCCATATTTTTAAATCTTCTATGCGTTTTTTAAGTTCTGCTTTAACAGTCCAAGCCTTACAACCATAAAGTACAATCTACCAGATGTAACAATGGAGCATACGATTTTTAATGTTAATGAAATGATTACAAAATACTTTTTTAATTGTATCGAAAGCATCACAGGCAAATTCCATTCTGATCTAAATCTCAATATCGCTGCTCCATTCATCCGTGAACCCTTAAATTAGTTTTTATATAATCTAAGTGCTAACCATGTTACCGTCAAAAAGATAAACTATATAAATTTACGTATAAATAAATTAGATTAAGGCTCTTGCAGTTAAATGTAGGGTAAATTATAGGTAATTTAGATATATAGATAAAGAGCTTTCTTACACCTCTAAAATATTGTAAATAATCAGACCATAATCTTTATACTACTTTATTTCACTAGTTATTAAATCGTAATCTATTTAAAATAAGTAAAATATAAATATTTCTACTGAAAAGAAATTACGTGCGTACGTGCCAATACTTTGAAATCACGAAAAAGGAGTTTTTAAACATTACATTGATGATCAGCCCTACGATTCTGTAAAAATTCAAATCCGAAATTGAAATTGACTCGGGTGTCCGAATCACTCCGAAAAGCGGCATCCACGCATTTTTGAATTGGTAATAACGTTTCGTCGCATAAGTGAAGTGAGTTTCGAAACGATACAGGAATAGAATATCTGAGACACGTTTATTCAATCATTTTGTTTTTTTATTTTTATACAAAAAATGGAATCAATAGAATTTTTACACTAAATGACGTGAATTCGGGCACCAAGTTTATTACGGTTTCTTTGAGGTGCCATTTATTGTAAGTTTACACAAAGTGATTTACTGTTTCTTTAGCTTGTTACACCGTTACATAAGTTCTCTCGTCTACAACTCTCCGGTTAGAGTATATCATTATTTAATTCCACTATTTGTATGGTTTTGATAAGCAATAAATAAATAAATAACTAAGAAATACTAAAACAATATGAATTGATTTTATAAATCCGAAAAATTGCTCCTTTTGACGGTTAACTAGAATACAGTTCTTTTATTCACTATCAAGTTTGTTCATGAAAATTCTGATGCAACGAACAGTGTGAGGGTTCATCAGGATCTATGAAACGTGAAATGGTAGGCGTAAGATATACTCGTATCTAAAGTAGGTGTACCACTCAGCACATCAGGTTATCACAATACGTCGAATTTCCGTGTTTCATTTTGAACTCTAAATACTTAAATCTAGCTGTGTTTATAAATAAACAAGGTTTAGTGTTGGAGTAAATTTACGCTGAGCTGCACTTAGTATTAGTCAAAATTTATATTATTAAACAGATACTTAGCAAAGATTAACCTAGTACGAGGTTTTATGGGAGTAATATTTAATCCTAGAAGGTAGTAGGTTTGATTATTCTCTGTATAAATGAATTTGGACTAACACTAAAATTGCAATTTTAGCGTAAATTTACTTTGACACAAAGTTTATTGTTTATTAATAGCACTTCTATAGTTTAAAATCAAGTGAGGAACTTTAAGTTTTGTATATCCTGATATGCTGTCGATTGTGCCAAGCGTAATGAAGTTCAAATATGTTATGCATCTACTGATGAAACTGAAAAGTGATAAATATTCCCGAAAATCATAAAATTAAAAGGTAATCGACATTTTTTTATTGAATGCAGTTTTCTAGCGTATTTCCTAAAGAATTAAATTTATACTTTGTGACGAAAAAAGCCGAGTGGTATTAGTTTAATAATGTAGATTTCTTTTATGATAGCGAAATATATAAGGTAGAAAATATTGTAGCGCCGCTTTATAACGACGAGTTTTGGAAATGAGGAATGTTAAAAAATCAACAAAATGACAGCCCTTTCTACCTATAGTTCAGTCAAATATAGAATATTAATAAAATAGGTTCATATTATTTTTTTATTTCTGTGGCTAGTTTTCCGGTTTCAAAATGTCGCCATCTCTGACGTCCCGGGTCGATGCCCGATCGATATAGAGAGTGAACTTTTCTACATTGTCTCAGGTCTGGGTGTTGTGACTTTGTTGTTTCAGATTTCCATAACACAAGTGCTTCTTAGAATCTGAAAAATGTATGTGACGTAGTAGTTCAGTGGCGTGAGTAGCTCGATAACGTGGTGGATAAGCGCCACGGTCGGCTACGGGATGGGTGACCACAAAACTATTATTTCGAGCTATTCCGTGCTTCGGAAGGCACGTTAAGTTCTTGGTATGGGCTGCATTTGCAGTCGTTAATACCTCATCCCCATCCATAAGGAAGACCTGAGCCCCTGCAATAGGGACTAAAAGGGCTAATAAATGTCATAGGGTTACAATTGTAAATCTACAGCAGGAGACTGCTTTTTTATTTATCCATTTTTAAGGAAGATTTACAGACGAATATTAATATAGTATATAGTAAATTATTATGCTAAACTTACAATTTTTACTGGTAACAACTCAGCAAGGACTGCTTTTTTCTCTCTTTAGACTAAGTTCTAATTAAAGAATATATAATACACGAATTAATGGTACTTATATACCAAGGGAATTCCCTTTAGTTCCCTTTTATCCCACTAAATAACTATTAATCCCACTA